AAAAAAAAAAAAAAAAAAAAAATTCCTGGGTCTGTAATAGTGTTTTAAAAACAAAGGTAGGATACACAGGAAGAGAAAGGTAAGTGGGAAAAATCTTCATAGAAGAATGCTAGCTAATACAAGTAAAAGGAAGAATAAATTTAGAAAATTACCATTTTATAACCCCCAATATGATAACTGACAGAAGTAAGTGCTGAATCACTGGGAGAAGCCTGCTGGGAAACAGATTCACATACACCATTCTCCAGGAATCTGTAGTGGTCATGTCAGAAACGTGCAAGCTACATCTCATCAGGAAGAACTCATCGGAAGAATCCACAATGTGAACCACTTTGTGAAACAACTGATCTGTACATTGCAAAGTACTGAATATCTTGAAGAAGAGAGGAAGGGCAAGACTGTTCTAGACTAAGAATAATGCATGAAACAATTAAATCATGTGTTGAAAACAGAGTTACCTAGACTTTTTTAGGGGGATGGGATGTCATGGAATTAATGCCGATCATTTTATGAAAGGCTAAGGGTACTCTAGCTGTGGGAAGAACACTTTCTTTGTAAGAAGCATTAGTATGCCCCAAAGGGTCTAGGAGTGAAGTGGTATATGTTGCTGAAGTGTCACATGGTCTGACAAAAGAGAAGAGACAGAAAAAGAGAGAGGGAGAGAAAGGAAAGAGTAAGAGAGGGAAGGAGGGATAAGAAATATGACAAGATGTTAACAGCTGGAGAATCAAGGACAGGGGCATATGGGTGTTCACTCTACTCTCAATTTTTCTATGGGTTTGATAATTCTCTACATTAATAAAAATGAACAAAATGAAGACAACTGTTAGAAGTAACATTCTCAGGCTACAGGTATTGCAAATAAGAAAAAAATGAACACTCAATTTTCACTTTGGTGACCCTGCAAGTAGAAGGAAAAGCTGGTCATCTTGAAGAACACCCTCTCTGGCTACTTCTGCCTGGAGGGTAATCAAGAAGTGAAGACAGTGGGGGCATCTAAGTCAGAACGGAGACTGCAAGACCAAGAAGCCACACCAGGACAAACGCACACCAACAGCTCCCTTTACAACTGGCACTGAACACTGGCATGCCAATGCTCCTTGTTTAGAATGGCTGTCACGTGGCCAGTCAGAGAAAGAACCTGTTATGTGGGATTATTTGTGATACAGAATTAGAGAGTCAACATGGCATTTTCTCCTCTGAAACATCTGTTACACCAAATCCTTCTTTATAATGGAATTTATGTTAATGAGATTTTACTTTTATAACTAAACTGAACAAATGTAGGACATCAAGAAAAACTAAATGCTTTAAACAAATTTCATTTCCTTATGAAAAAAATCTAATAGCTTATCTGTACTCACAAAGGATGGAGGAAGAGAAAGAAGCCTATGAGCTAATTAGACCTGTTGTTTCATTTCCACTAAGCCTCTCAGGACTATTTCTGGTTCCTGGGCCCTAGATACAAGATCCAATGTCTATTTTTGTTGCTTTTCTTCAAGTATCTTTACATGATAGCAGATGGAACTGTGTTTAAGAATCTTATAAACCTGAGACACTAGTTATAGGTAGTATGTCAGGCCTACTTAACTACTCAATTTTCACACCTTATTCATATATTATTTGCAAATGACAGTAAAAATACTGAATCTCAATCTCCATAGCAGCCCTCAATTTTTGCCTCCTGGCTCATAAACCCAACAAAAAATGTCACACTTCACTTTTTTGGGCTTTTGTAAACTTATTCAACCATTTCTTATGACCAAGACACAGACCTTGCTAATACAGTGTGGATGAGACCTGGTGCACTCTCTATAGCCACTCACAGATGCAGAGGAAAGCACTTCATTTGGAAGCAGGAAATCATGGAAATCATATAATTTCAAAAGAATCCACAGCAGTTCCTACTATGTCCACATTTATGTTTTCTTCAAGTACAACAAATTACAATATAATTCTGCCAAAGAGACATTCTTCATTATCAGAAAAATTTGACCTTTATAGAACAGCCCTGGCCCACGTTTACAGAAATACACATTACTGAATAACCTCTACAACAAACCCAGTGCACACCTAACAGTGACAGCGATAAGCAGGACTTCAGGACAGCTGTCCAAGGAGTGAAACACAGACCACTTATGGTAATAGTGACTGGAGAGGCACACCCTCTCCTACTCTACAACCGTCAGCACTATACCAGCTGAGGTAGAGGCTGAGCCCTAGGGCCCAGAAGTTCAACGCCAAACAAAATTTAGACAGCACCTTGGGGCCAGGTGTGGTGGCTCATCCCTGTAACCCCAGCACTTTGGTGCAGGGGCTGAGGTGGGCAAAGCCCTTGAGCTCAGGAATTCAAGACCAGCCTGGGCAACATAGGAAGACCCCCTACTTTTACAAAAAAAAATTTTAAAATCAGCCAGGTGTGGCCAGGTGCAGTGGCTCACGCCTGTAATCCCAGCACTTTGGGAGGCTGAGGCAGGCGGATCGTGAGGTCAGGAGATAGAGACCATCCTGGCTAACACGGTGAAACCC